CTGCGTAATATTCGCGCCGCTCCCGCTGTCCGGTCTCGATGTGGCGTGATTCAAGAGGCAGCACTCTGACGTTAGATTTCGTCACCTTGCTGCAGTGTGTAGCGACCAGCGCGGTCATTCCCGATGTGTTTTGGTAGCGCCTCGCATATCGGTGCCGTATCTGGGCCGTAGGATTCCGAATACTGGTTTTGGGGGCAGGCTCAGACACGCACAAGGTTATGGAGGTGCAGGGGGACAATGTGCGGGGGCGTATCAGGACCACTCCAAGCAGCTCACAGGTGTAAATGTGTGTAAATAAAAACTCGAGTGTTGTGAATGATACAGTAGAAGTTAGGTAACAGGTTATCCTCGGATCAGACTGTTGCTCTCAACGACTGAGTCATATGGTTAGTCATGACTGTTTTGCGGGAAAAGCTGAAACGTTTACCTTTTTATTTACTTTTATAAAACAATTAGATGGTTAAGCCTTTTAATTTTCAGGCGGTTGTAACTTAATTTAGGTAATCAAGAAGCGATTCTAATATGGTTTATAAAATCGTCTCGGCAGTCGGGTGGATTAGCCGAGAAGCAATTATCACTTGCCAGCATAAGTGGACTTAAGATCGGTGTATTCTCTAATTTTCGACACCGCTGCTGTAAACCCAGCCCTAATGCTCCAAATCCGCGTTTCTCTACTATAGACTCGTGTCATCTATTTTGGTATGACTAAAAACGCCGTGAACGTAAACACGACCGCTGCGGTAAGTGGCTGTAACTGGGCTGATGTATATCCGACCCTCGGACTGAGGCCGTGACTGCCGACGGCTATTGTGGCTCAGACGTTTGTTGACTCGGCACTCGGAGATGTGTAAACACAACCCAGGTTCGATAACAAACATGTGTATTTACACCCAACACGTGCTGAAAGACATACAGGGCACTACCGACATTCGCGCTGCCGAAAGACACTTGGGCAACGGAGACAATTGGCCCGACACCCGCCCGCGGGCGTCCACTATAATCTACGGCGAGTCTCGGACCCTCGCGCGGCGCTTCCCCGGCGATTTGGCGACGATGAGACCATCAGTTTTATATATCGAGATGCCCTTCGAACTGGACACCGTATTAACACAAGTCCGCGAAACATCTCACAACCCCCGGCCCCAGCCGGAGGGCTCCATTTGAGATCACACACGAGTTTGCCGTCCACCGCAGCTGCCGGCGACGAGCAGCTTCGGCAGCTTCGGCAGCTTCGACGGCTACTTGCACAGCTTGTAGCAGACGCAGCCGGCCGCGATGCAGGCGATGCCGCAGACGGCTGCCATTTCCACCGAGCAGGGCAGCAGCGGCGAGTTCGGCCCGGCCTCCAGCAGCGACAGGCTCAGGTTGTCGGCGCAGTGGCGCAGAGATCGGCCCACGTCGGCGACAGAGTCGTCGACGGCGATGTCTTCATCGACAGCGGCGGCGGCGGCGGCGGGGAGGTCGTTGGCTTCCCCAGCTACTCTCGGTGAAGCCGGCAGACGCGGAGAGGCCGGCACCGGCCAGGCCAGACGCTCCAGCAGCTCCGGAGACGGCGGCGCGGCGGGCATGGGAGCCAAAGCCGCAGGAAGGGCCGGAGCCGGAGCCGGGGTCTCGGGGAAGACGAACACAGTGCCGCTGGGGCCCGGTGACCTCAGGTCACAACTGGTTACCAAGTCCGGTAGACGGCTCATCCGGCCGCCCCAGCCCGGAGAGCCGGGCGACGAAGGAGGAGACTCCAGCAGCAGTTGCTCCTCCGTGATGGAAGTACCTGACGAACAGAAAATCACGAGTTCAAGTTACGACGCAGTTTATCTTTTTGACGTTCATGTTATATCGTGAAACGTGTTAAATCACGTAAAAATGGAAAAAATAAAATAAAATTATAACTTCATCTATATATCACAAATCATTTACTTACGTCTTAAATAATCGAACAATCCTTAAGTTCAGCCCTGCGGTAGCACAAAAATAAGGCGCCAGATTTCCACAAGTCCGCATGTTCACTCACCGATATCTCTGGAGGTCGATGTCTTTCTCTTCCTCCCGGAACCGAAGATTCTGTTGAGCCAGAACGGTGCTCTGTCCTCACTGATGCCGATCTCAGGCGCCATCGGCACAGCGGCCACCACGAACAAGTTTGACGTTCCGCACATCCTATCTCCACACCCGACCCGGTCGACCTCTCGTCAGCAACTGGCGCACGTGCGGGGCACACGCCGGCCGCTGGCTTCACTGAGCTTCTCCGAACGGCCGCTAGAGGCGCTACAGGACGGTAGCAGCGAACGGTAGGCCAGGGAGGGAGGGGTGGGAGGTGGAGGGTGTGAGGGTCCGAGGGGAGGGTAGGAGAGCAGCTGGGGAGGGGAAGGGAGGGCGTTGACGGTGGACGAGGCGCTAGATGAGGTAGCTGATGACGGGAGCAGTTGTTACAACTTGCTGCACCACACGACGTACGAGACGCGGGAACTGGATAAAATTGATCCGTACCGAACAGGCCCTTTTAGTGCCGCCGACAATTTTCTCTGATTGCACCATTTCAACTAGTGAAAATTGCTGCTAAAACCACATCAATAGGCCCATCATGTACCACAGACACTCTTTTTGCCGCACTTCTACTAAACGCAGGCCGTTGGAAAAATGATACAGATAGTTGAAAGTGGTCATTTCAAATGGCAAATAGGGTTGTGTAGCAGAAAGCTCTAGCTCACTGGAGTAAATATCTTGCTTCAGCTGTGCAATAATGTGGCATAATTACAGTTCAAATGTTTGCAGCACGCTTTCATCTGGAGCTCGCTTTAGGTGAGGCATGTATTATGCAAAGTGCCGAGAAAATTACGGGTTATTGTCGGTTCCCGCCTCGAAAATAAACACGTGTGGTGGGGCACGGACACTTGAGCCTACCGTTCAACGGAGTGAAGCTATTGAAGACCTTGGAAGTGATAACGATGGTCTGTATGAGATGATGTGGCATATGCATCATTCCGGCAGGCCAAAGGTATTGTGATAAATGTGTTTATGTTTAACGTAAAACTATTTAAAAACTTAAAATGAAACTGAAATACAAGCTGAATATTTCAAGCCCCGTCTGAACATCTGAACCTTCTAAAACGATTTAATCTCCTTGACCCAGACTGTATTAGTTTGTCGATCACCACAGGTCAGTGACAGAGGCCATCCTGATCATCGCTCACCTTCGCTGGCCCGCCGACATCTCCCCCAAACACACCGTCCGTCTGAGGAGACTCTCCCCTCTCTCGCTCTCCTCCGCTCCTCTGCCGTCCGCACCGGCACCGGCCCCATGTGTGAGCCATTAGCCGCCGCGCGCTGCCCGCCGCGTGACGGGTGACTGGTGACGTGACGGAGCGTCACACGTGCACGTGCAGGGGCGCACCGGACACCGCGGCAGCCTCTCGCGTTACGCCCCTTCCCCCCCCCCCCCCCGGCCCGGCCCGTGACGGGCGGCCGGGCGGCGCCCATTCTTCACCGAACCGTGCGCCGTTTCACAGACAAACGTCGAAAAGAACACCGGCAAAAACGCCGTTTTGTGTATTTCTGCGTCGATGGCGGTGCCGTATGCGGGTGATGGACGATGTGGGGGAGGAGGAGGAGAGGGGTGAAAAGGTCTAAGCGTGCCGATGTTCAGGAGGGTGGGTTGGGAAGACAAACGTCGGTGGGATGCGGCCCGATCGGCACAGAATTGATGTCGACACGGTGAGTCTAGGATGAGCAGAACGAGTTGGGCCGGTGAGATATGGTGACACGGGGAGGGGGGGGGGCGAGGGGCGAAGGGGAGCCTGAAGGACATGTGTTTCTGTTGTACCTAAATCTGTGTGCGGGGATGGGATGACCATGAAACTGCTTGTTTTTGAAAACATTGCGTTCCGTGTTATATGGTGTTCCACGCTCTGTCTTTTCTCCCTGTATATTACATATATGTGTCAAGCACTTTGCAGGCTTTTGTCCAGCGTCCTCACATATTCAAATGAGAATTTAAAAATCGTGCGATAAGCTTGTCGAAAAAGATTTCGATCAACTTCGGTTAGTTTTCTCGTCTGAAATGACAAGCAGTGAGAAGAAACATCAAATAACTAAAAATGATATCGATTGATAAATTTATAATATCGGAGAACTGATTGCTACATAAGATGTCTGAAAATAATACATTGCACATAGGTACTTATGCGTTCTACAGATAAGTAAAATGACCGTCTTTTGCCTCTATGCTCGATTTGTGCTCTCACTTATTTGTTGCCAATGAACCGTCTCAACCCCAAGGCATAAATTATGTCCAATTAACCAGCACATTGAAATCATAACTCGTGTGCGGTCAGTTTTCCCTTGTGAGGCGCCGCCTCCCTCCTGACAGGCGGGCAGGCCTGTCTGTTCCACCGCTAATTGGAGTCCGTGTCGGGGCGGTGCGACCCTCCTACACCGAGGGAGGCCTGACTTCAGCCACCACTGATTGACACAGTGCAGCTCAAGTGAGGACCTGATCCTCTCCATCCACTGACCCCCCCCCCCCCCCCCCCCACCTTCCGTGGCCTCTCCGAGTCAGGTCCAGTTTCACTCGTTACCCCACCCCACACCCTATCCCTCCCCACCGCGGGACAGGGCGGGTAAACGGCGTGTTACACATCTCGCCGGGGTGTCCGGCCCTCATTATACGCCTGCTGTGGCTCCCGTGGCGCCACGGTGACCCACGACCGCCCTCTCGCAAACACACGCACACAGAGGCGGATCCAGCTCAGAGGTTTGGGGGGGGGGTCAAACCATAAAAAATTATCGATTCTTTCCATGCATCGTCCATAGGCGTAATGTTAAAATCATGCCGTTTGGGGGGGGGGGGGGCAAATGCCCATTTTGCCCCCCCCCCCCCCCTGGATCCGCCACTGCACGCACACACACACGTGGGCAGACTTATGTCTTGAGGACCCGGTGATGTTAAGAGGACGCCGCTCGATTCGCTGCGAACTGTTAGCTGATCAAAGAGGTTTGCGTTGGCGTATGTGCTATATTTTTTTCAAAGTCGCACGAATGTGTGGATAAAGTGCTGAAGTGTCATAGCGGTAAAATGCCAACACTTAGCTACGTTGCTTTTTCATAAGACTTCTAAGGATGCATCGAGTTCCTTAAACACCGTTTTCAAAGTATACACCCGAGTGGTTGCGTGAGCAGCGCTAGTGCCATCTCTGAACGACCTTGTGCACTAGTGTTTCACTGGCGCCAGCCAGGGTGAAGAGCGAGTAGCCCGTCACAACTCCGATCAGTCCCCCCATATTGGCCAGAAGGGTGGCAGACGTGAATACAATGGCTTCCCTTAGCTCGTCAGCAGTTAGGTCTATCGCCAGGGCTATACGCGTCTGGCAAGCTCCAATGTGATATTGATCGTCGCGCGTTGGACCCGATACTCCGTATAGGTCATACAGTGTCTGGTGACAAGCAGGTTGGCAGTTGCAGCCTCGCACGTCGGTCAGGAGATTATTTTCGACAAATGTTTCCAGGTCATGCGGAGGATTACATAAATTGAAGACGCGGAGCTTGGAGACGGCTTTCATTGGTTCATGTTCTCGAGAGTGTGTTGCATTCGCACTGAAAGAGGAACTGAGATTTAAGGATGGAGACATACTAGAATCAGATCTCTTGACAAGCGCAGTCGGTCCCGGTATCAGAGGCGCTGAGCCGTCTGGTCTGTACCAAGGCCTTACACGAAGCTCTTGACATTTTTCGTTGGACTGTCGAGTACAGAACCTGATAACACGCGTCCGCATGCTGGTCTGCATCTGCACTGGTCTTGCGCAGAGCGGTAGATGGTCGAGCGGCCCGCTCATGTCGGGAAGGTACACCCCGGCGCCGACCATGTGCGGCAGCCGGCAGGAGATGTTGGCCGCCAGACGACGCCACAGACACTCTTTCAGACACTGCGTCTCCGAGTATCCGGGGTCGTCGCGACAGGGCCGAAGCCGCACGTTCACCTGACGAAGTAGGCGGGCGGTCAGGCGCAGTGAGAGGGTGCTCCCCACGCCGAGCTCGCGCACCAGAGTCTGCGGCACGTGGGGGCCCAGCTCCTGGGCGACCAGATCTCCAACGTTTGGTTCCTCGCTTCCATGCACGAACAGACGGTACGCTGTACGTTTAGTCTCTGTGAATGATGGCGCGGAGGCTAGGATCAGCTCCAGCTGAAGCGGGTTCTTGCTGCGCGCAAACAGATATTCGCTGGGCTCGAAGGTCAAACAGCGCGTCGGATGGACCTTGTGTCTTAGCCGTGATAAGGTGAGGTAGTAGCGCGCGCCCCAAGTGCCAAGTCGACTGCGACCTGGTACATTCCCTACTGCGTGCGCTCCACTCTCCACGTGAATCCGATTAGGCCAGTTGTTGTAGCGCGCATCACTCCCCAGCATCTGCAGAGTGCTGATGTTGTAGAACTGGTCAAGCGTAACATTGTCGCTGGTGAGGAGCGTCTCGGCCTCAAGACGAATCACAGTGTCCCGCAGTGGTGTGCCGGGACAGAGTGTCAGACGCGGGAACGGGGCCTGGCGACGCAGCACGGTGGAGCTGACGGGCTGGGAGTCGTAGTCCTGGTACTGCGAATACAGCTGCTGGCCAAGGAACACCAACAGGAAAATGTGTACCGTCCAGCGAAACACGAGGACTGCCACACTGCGCAGAAGTGCTTTTAGGGCCCTTCCTCCTCTCCTATCATTGTCACCCTTGATCTCCTTTGAGCTGAAGTCCTCTCTACCGCTTTCGAGGTCGTCTTCGTGGATGCTGCTGGGCATCCTGCTGGTACTCTGTGGAGCACGACAAACTTGCCAGGCTTTGCTGGACTTTCTAGGAGCGCTTCTGATGCTGCTTGGACGCACCGCATCCTCATCCTGTCGGACAAGTGTCGACATTGCTTGCTTGATCATAGCGATGCAATCAAAGAAGAACAAAGGCTCTTAACCCATGGCAGCAATGCTGCTCGGCTCGGTGCTCAATACTACTCATGAGTCTTTGGCATCTTCAAATGAATCGGCACATTGTTTCTAAAATGATGGTAATAATATGGCAGCTCTCAACGCCTGCTGCTCACACGAGATTCACAGATGCAATATGAAACCGTGAGCGTAGAAACGTCTTTTTCATGCCCTGAAGCATCCTAAGGCAATCAGAGTCGCCCTCTGTTTCGACTCAACACATATTTCGTCAAAAGCGAAAAGGGTTTCACCACGTTTTCTTGCTAAGTGACGTGTGAATTTCAATAAACCTTTTCCAAAAATTATAAATTGTGACAACTCTGTTCAATATTTACCCAGCGTGCTGCTAGCTTCGCTACGGCTACAGTTAACCACCAGCGTCCTGTTAACACAAACACGGCTTGCTGTGGTCTGAGCACACACATCGACCACCACCAAAGAACATGCTCGTCAGCTCTTGAAAACGCAAGCTACACTTATTGTGACGTAAAACTCGCGCAATGAGTGACGTCACACCGCAATTTACAAGTTGCCATGGAAACACAATAAACAGAATTAGCAGCTGCTTATGGGTTGGCGTTCCACGTCCGTAAACCTTTTAGATGCGTGTATTGATTAGCTTTATACTAGCACAATCGAGGAGCCAACGTTTGGCGGCAAAGGCCGAACCGTGCACAATAAGATGTGTGAAAAGGACATGTAACTAGACAGGGTTTTTGGTGCAGACCCATTTGTTAGCGTTTGCTATAGGTATCACGTTTATAGAACGCAGACATGTGCTTGGATCCGAGAGCTGGATCTATGATCTCAGTGGATCTCTCGACAAAATAGAGGGGTTGGATCTATGATCCGAGTGGATCTCTCGACAAAATTCAGGGGTTGGATCTATGATCTGAATGGATCTCTCGACAAAATTTAGGGGTCGGATCTATGATCTCTGTGGATCCAGCGGGCAAAATTTTGTGGAGGACCTATGCTCTGTATGGATCTCACGACGACATGTAGCCAATGAAACCCTTATCCTACATAATTGTACACCTTACAGTGCAATACAATTGAGAATTATCACTTGTGAACATGGTTATTAGTTAAGACCACTTGTAATCATAAGGTATCATCATCAAATTTGAATTTAAATGAACAACATTTGTAGTGTACTACATTTAAAATAAACCAAGAACATGCATATTGCTACTTTTTGTGACCAATTGTAACTTTTTCATGACAGCACTGATGACAATCTTATCAACAAGCTACAGCCACTTTAATTCCATGAACAAACAGTACAGACAGATGCAGTGGCAGCAGGGCACTGCAGATTTTCATTTTGGTCCCATTCTTTCCATGCATCGCCAGTAGGGCTAATGTTAAAATGCCAAAATCTATGGGGGGCACTGTACCCTGGTGCCACCCCCCCCCCCTGTTCTGCCACCTATGGACAGATGTTAGGAAATCAAAATCAAACCTGGAAGCCAATAGGTCAGTTTTGTTAAAAATAATCCAGCAATCCACTTCTGCCAGGTATGAAATCCCAATCCAGAATGTTCGTATGAGCTATTAGTATGTGCAACACAATTTCGATTTAGTAAGAATAGCAACCAATCTCTAATACTTTCCAAATAAAATTACAAGTTCAAAAATGGCATCAACTTCTTCAGATTACCTACTTTTGGCATCGTGCCACACGTGTGGTGCCATGCTGTGCTTTTGTTACGAGAGAGCCTCCCAAAAAAAGACAAACGAAATTCATAGCTCACGTTTTGGTAATATGGTTTTATTACGTCATTATCGTTTGACCAATGAAAAATCTTAATTTGACCAAAACCGTAATGATTCCAAAAGATTCCCCGTAATAGACCCTTTAAACTAATGACGTAAGATATTGTTATTCTTTTGAAAAGTGAATAAAATAAAGATGCAAGGCGCACACCGCTCAAGGCCATGTAATACCGTTTCAGCTTACGTTTACGTCATTAAATTCAACGCTACAAAGATGATATTCACAAACAATCGTATCGTAAAATTATGCGAGGCAGAAAAAATGAACATTGTTTAAAAAAAAACTCCAGACTTTTGAATTTCCAGTTTGATTTTTTATTTATTTTCATTATACTAGAAGGTAGAACGCCTAGCTCATTTGTTATTTGAAATGACGTCACGAGTTCTATTTAGATACTGAATAATCATTTTACGGTAAATATCCAAGGCCATTACAATTGATATTTCGCTTTCCATCGCTTCCGCAGGCTGTTGAATATTTTTATACTTTTGTTTATATCTCAGTTTATTTTATCAAATATTTCTTTCAATAGATTGAAATACCTTTACCTAACCAAGCCACATGTGTCAGTATAATCTTTTATTGTTTATCAATCAATTGTGGTAGCTGGAAACTGGAAAGCCTCATGGTTGTCTAATGCAAGATTGTCTTATCAATATCATTATGTAGATTCTAACTCTAACATGAATTGTGATGTGGTAGGTACCTAGTTATGTATTGTTCATTAGTCATTACTTTGACTTACCTCTATGCTAATTGTTAATGCAAACTTTTCTGTTGGTATGTGAACTGTGAACAATCTTCATGTCACTCAATTCTCTCAAGTTGTGACCGTCATGAGCCTCCTTTATTTTGTATTCTGTATAATGTAACCATGGATGCCTTTACTAATATGGCCTTTGTATAAGATTGTTTGTTTCCAACCATACTTTGGTATTCATAACTTCTTATGAAAGAAAGTTGTTAACATTTTGAGCGCCTATGAGCTATGATCCCAATGGATCTCACGACAAAATTGGGGAGCCAGATCTATGATCCGAGTGGATCTAGCGACAAAATTGAAGGGTCAGATCTATGATCCCAGTAGATCTCTCGACAAAATTGAGGGGTTGGATCTATGATCTGAATGGATCTCGGATCGGGATCCATGGGATCGGATCTCAGATCCATTTTTCCGGATCCAAGCACATGTCTGATAGAACGCACCATCAAAGACATTCAATTAACTAAGTAAAACTTGTTGTAAAAATCAAGAGATGTTTGTTTAAAAATAGCTCAACATTTTTTTTAAATTTCATTTTAATGTGAAATTATTGCAAGGTAGATGTATGAGGCAATATCAATTGATTTTGATGTGGGATTACTTCCAAGATATAACCGAGCACGATCAACGCATCATTTTAAACAATCATGATCTCCGGGTCCAGGCAAACCACATAACCACTGCGCGTGCTCCTTCCCCTGTACCGCCTCTCCCCCAAACACCCTAGCGGGCCGCCGCCACCGCCGCCGCTCGACCCGGGGTCACGCGGGTCACCGGTCAGCTGATTGTCAGAGCCAATCGGGCCGGCGGCGGCCACTGCGCGTGCGCCAACAGCCGACGTCGGGTCGCCGGCGGCGGACGGCGCGCATCCATTACGGTTTGAAGCAGCGGGGAGGGCGTATTTATGATGCGGTACTGCCATTAGTTCAGCCGAGCGCCCGGGGCGGCGCCGCGAGGCTGATTGTATCACGTTGGTTGCTCTCTATCCTGTCTTTCTGACGCTATCTGGGCTTCATGAGGTTCGTCAAAAAGCGATCCCGTTTCTGATCCTCCGATGGCGGGAGGACGGCGCCAGAATTAGGGCCGCTACAATAGGGATTATCTGGCCCAGTTCGGCACCGGCTTAATTTGTGTTTTGTCTGGTCCGTAGCCAGATGGGAGGGGGCGGGGTCTGCGTAAATACACACATCACCCCCGTATGTGTTACCGGTAAAATCGATACATCTCTGTCTCGGACAGTTCGAGGCAATTACCGAGACGATTTGGTAATTTACAGCTGGATTCTCGCTCTGAAAACCAAACAGAGACGACAGGTCGACTGTCAGCGGGCGGCGGGCGGCGGGCGGCGGACCTGTCCGCGGGCAGGCAGACGGCCCAGCCCGGCGCCGACTGGACGGCGCGGGAGGGGCGCTGCTCGTGCAACAGATAGCTCGGCCACGGTGCTGGGGAGGTGTGGTGATTAATGAGACCCCGCGCAGAGAGTATGGTGAGTCAGACGGTCGGTGGGTCTGCATATCGGACGGTTGGAATATCCACCAATTAGGTGCTGAGTGTAAGAAGAGACACCAACAGTATATGTATGTTACATATGCTTCATGTGGTCAATAACGGATACATTATACCGAAAATGAAACAATGTCATAAGATGAGAATGAACAACCAAAAAAAGGGGTGGTAGAAACCGATTGGTATATGTTGCAGATCGTGACGAAATATTGCGTGTCCCGTAACGGTTGCTAATCTCAACACAAAGGTAATCTCTTCTTACTTACCTACGCTTCAATATGCGTCACCACTACGGCACGCGTTTTTAGCCTGCCTGACACCTATGATTAGTCAGCGCTCAGACCTCACAATCTCGGACATTCTAGCATGAATCACCTTGGAAACAAAGGGTGCCACCTCGCCGCTACCCTCCACCTGTCTCCCTCTGAGCTCCCCTCCCCTCCGCTCCATTTGCCCCCTCCCCCGGTGACAGTTTTTGCCGATCCGTCCGCACCGCGGGCGGCTGCCGGGTTTTGAATAAACAGGTGCTGTGAACTCCCGGGCCGGCCCGTGGTCGAACCACTGGGCACAGTTCACGGTCCCGGCGATACGATCAGATTCGCTGCCCCGTATATTGCCGATCGTATCTGCGCCACGTCTGTCGGCTCCGCGCCGCGACTGTATGCAGATGGCGCGCGGTTTTTGTGCGACAGTCAGCGCGCGCCGAGACATGTGCCGCGCGCGCGCCGGGGTCCCTCTGAGAGGGAGAGGGCTGGGTCAGTTTGTTATGGTCTCGTCCAGGGCATTACGGCAATCAGTCATTGACACTCGCTGCGGGGAGTGGACCCCCGACCGACCGGACCCCAATAGAGGCGGCGCACACGGACCCCTCGTGAGGGCACCGACCCCTGACGGGCCGAGAGACGGCGCCGAGTCAACCGGTCATTAGGCGACACACCAGCTGGCCTGGTAATGGTAATAATATACCCCGCGCCGTGATTTTAC